TAGTTTCACCTTGATGGACACCAAATCATGGAGGCTTGGCCCTGAGACTCCTCCCTCCGGGAATTGAGCCATTTTCAGGACTTGTCTCTTCCCCTTCTGTCCTTGCCAGGCTGGTGTTAGAGGTGGTCTCAGCAGCCCAGAGGCAGGTCAGTCCTTCGGCGGAGTGGTCTCTGCCCACACCCCACCTGTCCCCGGGACCTGCCCCAGCACTCTCTTGGGCTCCACGCTCCTCATCAGACCGCCTCTTGAGTCCCCCAGACACTTCAGCTGATAAGGTGGCGCCTGCCAGATTGCCTCCCCAGATGCCTCTCCTAGATGATTGTGGATCAGCCTCTCTGAAGGGCAGGCTGGGACTGGCTGGCTCCCTCCTCCCCGTGGCCTTGGACAAGCCTCAGGACTGTGCTAAGGAAGGTTCAGAGCACACACCCTCACCACTCTCACCGTCAAGGGAAAGAAGGAAGCCAAAGGGACAGGCTGTGTTCCCAGCTCTGCCTGTCAGACGCCGAGTCCTCAGACAGTCACTGAACTAGCTGCAGCCTAGAAAACAGCCCAGCACTGCCTGTCACCGATCACAGGCCGTCTCCCTGCTGCTGTTCCTGCCTCTGTAAAATCAGACCATGGTGCTTCCCCGCCAGCCTGACATCCATCTAGCTGAGAGGATAAGGAGATTAGCAGGGGCACATCTGCTTCATCATTTTCAAGGACGTTTTACTGTCAAGGGACTTTACTGTTTCTGGTTCTTGCTACCTCCACCCAGAATTCCATCTCAGGACCCCAGGATTCACAGGAGTCATCCAAAGGAAACAGAGAGAAACGTGTCCCCTCCCCCCAGTCATTTGTGACCATCTGCCTTTGTCCTCTGCTGAGGATTTTGTGGGTGACGTGATGTGACTTTTCAGGTCCATTGTAAAGGAATAATGTGGAAAACAGCTTATGCTGTTTAACGTTTCCTCTTACCAATTGCCCCACTTCCACAGACCCTCTCGGTTCACCCTCTGTCAGCACAGCAGCCCCCATCTCCATCCTGTGACAAGAGGACCAAGCGGAGGAGGAGTCTGGGAGGTGGCCGCAGTGCAGATGTGGGCACTCTGTGCATCCGTGAGGACGTGGTTCCCTGGCCACAGCTGCACCTTCCCTGAGCCTTGGATGCTTTCCTGAGTCTGAAAAACCAACTGAATTCATGCCTGTCTTTCCTGAAATCTTCTATCTACAGATGGGACAAATACCAAATTTGTGTAATAGCTCCAGATAGGGTAGAGGAGGTTAAAAACACAGGTTCTAAGGAACGTGTCTCAAGCTCCACGTTGGAAGCTTCTAAAATTGTGCTCCCCACCCCACCAGGAGCCTAGATAGTGAACAACAAATAGAAACATCCCTGATGAGGGCCCGGGGAGAAAAACACCCTCCTTAAGAATCTGAGGATTCAGGCAGGTGGCAGTCCCTGCCAAATTTCTATTTGGTTTATGAATGTGGCTCTGGTAGAAATCTGAGAGAGTCTAGCCACGGACTGGCCCTGGTGGCAGTCTACATGCCAGTTGTGGTGTCCTTACTAGGGCGGACAGAACAGCCCCAGGGCATGGCTTGCAGCCACTGATTGGATGCCCATATACAGTCAGAGCCCAGGACCACATCAGCTCTCTGCCCCTTTCATAATATTATCAAAGAGATTGAAATTCCCTGCACATGCCCCAGAGCTTCCGTGGGGGCGATGTTCTATTGATAGAATCCGATGAGCCAGAGGTGTCTGGGATGCTGGAGACATTGACGAGCCACATATATTATCCAGCTTGGCAGAAAAACCCTGCAGAGATCCAAGTCCTGCCACACTCATAGGCTATTAGGGCCCCAGTGACCGGGTGCAAGCCTGGATGCCCTCTGTCTGGTGCAAAGAAGGAAGCACGGCCTCCGGTGGGGCTTTATGGGTTTTCTCAGATCACATTCCCCTTGGAAGACTGATTTGTCTCAGGCACTGGGTGCCGTGGCAGGACCGCCGCTTTAAGTGGAGGCTGGGGCATGCAGGGTGCTGTGGCAGGTCCAGGCCACCTCATGGCCCACCAGACTCAGCAGAGCTTGTGTGTTGGAGGTGGCAGTGGTGGAGAGAAATGCCACAGGGCGCCTGTTCCAAGCTCCAGGGGCAGATCCAGGACTGAACCTTGGATTTTAGCCAGCAGCCACGCCATCTACACTGGAGAGTCACATGCCTTTTGAGAACAAGCCCTGCCTGTTGCTGGCCCCTGGCAGAGACAGAACAACTGGCCAGACAATGCCATGTGACCGTCTGGCAGGAACTACCCATCATGAGCTGGTCTCATCAGAATCCCTAAGCGACAGGTCGGCAGGATGAGCAGCAAGCTGTGGTGAGATGAAGTGCTGTGTCTAAGCTCAAGAGGGAAGGGAGGGCGCAGGCCCACTGCGTGACCGGGCCTCAGACTGCCATCCCAGTGCCACAGCGGGTGCTTCTAGCTCCCTCCATGCCTGCACAGGGGCAATGGTTTGACCAGCTGAGGGCTGAGAAATAAGTCTGAACTTGGCCGGCGATGGGTCAGACCAGCTGAGGGCTGAGAAATAAGTCTGAACTTGGCGGGCGATGGGTCAGTTCTCTGCAGGGAGTGTGAGCTAAACATAGACTGTTGCCCAGGGGTGGCCTCCAAGGACAGCAGCAAGAGAAATTCCTCCCCGTGAGCAGAGCTCTGGGTATCCAGAAAGCTGCAGTTTCAGAGGTGGCTGATGATAGTGGGCGCTGAAGGCAAGGGGAGCTGAGAGTGGAGGGTGGGGACGGGGGACAGTGAGTGTTGACTGTAGCTCTGATGCCAACTGCTATGGCAGAAGAGACACCCCAGAGATCCCTTCAAGGAAGGACATGTGCCAACTGGGGAGAGTCACTGACCAGCTGTGTCGGCTCTTTTCTGGGTCTGGCTTTGCCAGGGCAGCTGCATCCAGTGACTGAGCTGTGAAGCCGTGGAGCAATCTCACGGGCCACTGCTGGTCCAGAGCCCTGTAGCCGGCGGCTCTCAGCCAACGGCCACTGGTCCCCCACGAGGACATTTGGCAATTTCTGGAGACATTTCTGGTTGTCATGACTTAGGGAGTTCTATTGGCATTTAGTAGGTAGAGGCCAACGAGGTGGCTGGTGTCCTACAGTGAGTAGCACAGCCAAAAATTCCCTGGCCCGGGGTGGGTGGGGGCAATAGCGCTGAGGGTGAGAAACCCCTGGTTTACTAACACATGTATAAGCTGCCCAAGTCTGCCTTGGAAGTCAAATTCTTCACACACCCCTCCTTTCCCCTCATCCCCTTCACAAATATTGGTTCCGAATTAAAATCCTATCTTGCACCCCAAGCTCAGCCTCTGCTTCCAGAGAACCCAAACTGTTAGGGAACTCCCATTTCCTGCCCCAGCACCTGATATGGTGTAGGTTCTCAGCATACACCGTGAATGTGCGAAGATAATTTCAACATCAGCCCCCATAGATGACTCTTCCTTAGAATTCCAGGCAGGAGACCAATCAGGACTCAATAGAGGTTTTATTTTCTATGAAAGGCATCCAATTAAAACACCGTTCAGTTGTGCGGAAAATTGTTGTCATCCTCAGGTGGGGATGCCCGACCGCCATGCTCCTTTCAACATCAACATTGATAGGAGGTGTTCCTTTACCATAACAAGGGTCTTTGCTTAGCAGCAAACTCAGGTCTCCCTGCTGCCTCCTTCCTGCAGTCCTGCATTCCTGCGTCTCCACTCCCACTGACAGTGTTTACGTTTATTCTTGTGTGGTCCCAATATCACAAATATGTAACTTACTTAAGCATTTTGTGATGGCATAATTTTTGCTTACGTGTCTATTGCTCAAATCAAACTGCAGTATTTTGTAAGTCAAAGTCCTTATTTTTGTACTTTCATCCTAGGACCTGGCACAGGAGGCTTGCATACAGTGGATTGTCAACTCGTGCTTTAAACAGATTAAACCAGAATCTCTATGTCAACTTTATCCACTAAGGGAGAGACCAGGAAGAGCATGAATTCTGAGTTGGTGCCTCCGGGGAAGAGAGTGTGGTCCTTCCTCACAGGAGGAAGAATGACCTGCAGGTAGCCAACATGTCATTTCCTCCAGGCAGGGACGTGGCAGGGATAAAGCAGGTGGGTGGTTAATAATTCCTTTCTCTTGGAGGAATAAGGGCACTTTGTCACCCAGAGACAGGCCTGTCCTCAGAATCTTAGAATTACAAGGAAGCAATTGTTAAAATTATTCAAGGCCAAGTTTGGTCCCGTTCCCCCTGTGCAGTCTGAATAGTTTGTAAAGTCTCTGTTTTAACAGAGGGAAGGGGAGATGAAGAGTTGTGATATTTTTAAGCAAAGCAGGCACAGCTGATTTAGAGCTGTGTGGAAAGGGGGATTAGGAAAAGGAGAAAGAGACACAGAGACAGAAGGGGGGACCACCTAATCCACCTATCCTCCACCTTTCCCATCTCCACCTTCCACCCTTTCCAGACAGAAAGGCAAACTGAGATTTTTGCAGAGTCCCCTCAAGGCTGGGGGCCACCTCGGCTGGGTCTCTTCTGGCTTGTCGGTACCCCTGCCCTGCCTTGCCCTGCCAGCAGTGCCAGATGTCCCGGCAGGAAACCCAGATAGACGCAGGCACCGTGCCCCCACCCCCCATCCCCCTCCCCGGCTGGCTTCCTCCCTGCGTCTGCATCGGAACTACTGAGGCCATTTCTGTGCCCCCGGTGGTCTCCTCTACTCTGCACCAGCTTAGGGGGCAAGCACCTTCCAGGAGTCACACCCATCCTCCGTAGCCCTAGCCATTCCTTTTGGTGTCCCGAGATCCAGCCCTCATCCCTTACTCACGCAGGGTCCTCCATGCTCCACCCACCAGGGGGGCGAGTAGCTTCCATTTCCTCCTCACCGCAACTCCACGCTCTCAGCGTCCTTGTCCTGTTCCACAGATGAGGAGGCTGCATTGCTCACAAGACAGTCACCTGGCCCTCCAGTGGGGTTTGCGCGATAGCAACTCTGTCTTTCTGCTTTCCTGACTTTGTGTCTGAGGCCAGCATCTCACAAGGTGAGGTTTACCTGAAAGGGAGGGGAATTGAAGCCAGGTGGGCCAAGAAATAATCACAAGAACTTAGAATGTTCTACCTGGAGAAAAGAAGACTTCAAGATAGAAACAGCCAAAGGATGATTGGGTGTGAGAGAGTCTGGGGTGGTGCCAGGTAGCCCCAAGGACCAATGAAGGAAGGCCAGGGGGACATTTCAGATCAGTCTAAGCAAGAACCCTCTTACAGAATGGGTGTGCCAGGCGGTCTGCAGCCGTGGAAGCCCGGCCGTGAGAGGTGTGAGAGCTCTGGTGGCTGTGCAGAGACTTTGCCACCATCTGGGTCAGACTCCCAGCTCTAGCTCTTTCTAGTTCTCAGCTCCAGTTCCTTGGGGATTCTTTGTAACTTTTTGACAAGGGTTGACAAACTATGGCCCACATGCCAAACCCAGCCGGTCACCTCTTTTTTTTTGGCCAGGGCTGGGTTTGAACCCGCCACCTGCATCATATGGGGCCGGCGCCCTACTCCTTTGAGCCACAGGTGCTGCCCACCACCACCTCTTTTTAAAAACATTTTTCTGGAACACCCGGCCAATCAATCCCTTTGTGTTTGGTCCATGGCTGTGTTCACAGTGCAACAGCAGAGTTGGGTAGTTGTGATGGAGACTTTGTGGCCTACAGAGCCGAAGATATTTACTGTTGGGCCCTGCACAGAAAGGGCGTGCCAGCCCTGCTGGTAATGGTAACTCATTTCTCCGGGAAGCAATTGAATCTGCCAGTTTCCAAAAGGAAAATTGAACAGAACTGTCAGATACTTGGGACTAGGAATGAGAATTCCCCTGCAAATGATTGAAATTATATATATATTTTTTCCCCAAGAGAATCTGAGATGGGTGATTCTTCTTCTTCTCTCTAATTCAATTCCTTTTCCCATTGCTTCTTATTAAACCCTGAGCTAGCAGCTCAACCTCACCCCAGCAGATGTTTGCACAGATACACCACTGAGCTGAATTTTCTGTTTCCTAGAGATTAGACACAGACATTGTGGTGATTTAAATAT